CGTCTTCTAGGAAAGAATAAGGTTAATTAGTAATACTTTTGAAGGGACCAGCTCCCCATTTCGGCAGCCATAACAGCCAAACACGTACTTGCCTGACCTTCTCTTGGTCACTAAGGTCAAATGCCTGCCCATTTCGGCAGCCATGACAGTAACACGTGCTTGTCTGACCTTGCCTTAGTCACTAGGTCAGATGCCTGCCTCGTGACAAGAAACCAATCAGAAGTTAGCTGGTGGGGCTATGCTTTAGGGCTCTGGGTGTGCTTTACCGACGACAAGTGCACAGCAATGACGTGCAGAGCACAGCAACCGCCCTGGGAGGGCCTATGGGCCATAACAACCAGTTGACCAATGAACACAGGGCAAGCCCTCCAAGCCTGGAGGCACACCAGTCCTGAGCCTGTGCCTACCCCTAGACACTCCCCTTATACTGCCCTAGAAGATCTATGTCCTGTGGTTTCTCAGGGCCTTTTCCCAGCCATGGTGGATGGATGGAAGGCTGGAGCTAACATGGGGTTAGCTCGTTAAACAACTGCAATAAAAGACTCATTGCTTTTGCATCGAAATGGGCTTCTTGGTGATTTGGAGATTCAGAATTTGAGCACAACAGAATAAACCTTTTTTGTTTGTTTGTTTTTGAGATAAGGTCTCTCAGGTAGATGTTGATCTTGAACTTGCTATGTAGCCAAGGTGGGTGACTTTGATTTCTGATCCTTCTCTTCACACACACATGGAAAGTGCCAAGATTAAAGACATATGTCAACACTCTCCAGTTTGTGTAGGGCTGGGTATTCAAGACAGGGCTTCAACCATGGCAGGCAAGCATTCCAACCGTTCTACATTCTTGCCCCTTAGAGTGTCTCCTAATGTGGACAACCAACAAAACACAGTCCCAGTATGCCATTAAATTAGGAAAAATCCCTTTAGAAACAAAGTCACATTTTTATATTGCAACTATAAGCTGCACAGAAAAAGTATAATACATGTAAGGATAGAGAAACAGAAAACAAAGGATGGTGACAGAAGACTTTAAAATGGGAAGATTCATACAGAATAAAATAGACCCAGCAAGGGTATTAAATAGTTTTTTGTTTCATTTTGTTTTTTGAAAGAAAGGTAGAGGTAAAGTAAACTACAGTATAAAATGAGAGCTCCCATATTATTTAGAGAGTAAAACGTATGCAAGTATAATTCCACTTAGCTGTACTTCTAAAAACTGAAAATTTGTTCATATTAGCACGTGGACTTATATTGCCTCCCTAAGAACCTCAAACAACTCCAGGGACATGCTGCTACCCACAAAGTCTAATTGTTCTGAGGATGGAACAGATGATCTGAAATTGGAAAAAAAATCAGAGAAGTATTTTTTTCTCTTTTTTTTTTTGGTTTTTCGAGACAGTGTTTCTCTGTGTAGCTTTGGAGCCTATCCTGGCACTCTCTCTTGAGACCAGGCTGGCCTCAAACTCACAGAGACCCTCCTGCCTCTGCCTCCTGAGTGCTGGGATTAAAGGCGTGCCCAACGCCCAGCCAGAGAAGTATTTCTTGAAGTTGGAATAAAATTATTGTTCATTTCAAGAAATATTTCAAATGCCTATTATTATTATTATTTCCTTTTTTTTTGAGACAGGGTTTCTCTGTGTAGCCCTGGCTGTCCTGGAACTCACTTTGTAGACCAGGCTGGCCTTGAACTTACAGAGATCTGCCTGCTTCTGCCTCCCCAGTATTAGGGTCAAAGGCGTGTGCCACCATGCCTGGCTCCTGTTATTTTAAATATTCTCATATGTGCTCTCTCTCTCTCTCTCTCTCTCTCTCTCTCTCTCTCTCTCTCTCTCTCTCCCTCTTTCTCTCTGCGTGTGTGTGTGTGTGTGTGTGTGTCTGTGTCTGTGTCTGTGTGTCTGTGTATGTACACATGAACACGAGGGATCAAGGAAGTCAGAGGCATCAGATCCCCTGGAACTGGAGGTACAGGTATCAGAATATGGTCCCTGAATGAATCTGTGTGAGATTTCTGAGTGCTTGTGAGAAAACTCCAAGTAAACAAGACAAGAGTCTGTGACCTCTGTTCCTCCAGAACATGGGTTGCTACTGGAATGTGCTTTTGAGCCCCCTCCCAGGTGTGGTGAATAGGAATGGGTTTACTTCAGATTACCCATCACTATTCAGAATAATGATGTCCTCCTGAGTGTATTCGGCCTAAACGCATGTGATCTTGCCCTGTGACTGTATACAACTTGAACTTCAGTGAACCTTGCTCCCATGACCTGGCTAAATCCTCAGAATGCCCTCAGAATATAAACTGTCTGATGCTTTGCATAAAGCTGACTATGACATGAGACTTTAGTCTGCCTCATTTTTTAGGATTCACTCTCCCAGGTTCACACTGCCAAACAGAGCGGTGATAACAGGTAGCTATCCGCTGCCCGACATGGGTGCTGGGACTCAAACTTGGGTCCTCTGCCAAGAGCAATGCATTCTCTTAACCTTTGAGCCATGTCTCCAGCCCCAAACAACTGGCATTTTAACATGGCTGCTATACTATGTAAAATATCTAACTTATTCCATGCTGCTTTCCTGTCAAATTAAAATATGCCATTATAGTGAGAGAAAAAGGCTGAAATGTCTACCTGAAGTTATTCATATAAAACAAAGAAATCCCAATGTGAGATGAGATCAGACTATTATCAGTCACAGGACTTTTACAAAGACAAGAACTGATAGTGAAGACAGTTCCATGGGGCTGGAGAGACGGCTCAGCTGTTAAGAGCCCTGGCTGCTCTTCCAGAGGTCCTGAGTTCAATTCCCAGCAGCAACATGATGGCTCACAGCCATCTATAGTGATATCTGATGCTGTTTTCTGGCATAAAGTTGAACATGCAGATAGAGCACCATATACATAAAAAAAACAAAAACAAACCAAGAGTGAAGAAAGTTTCTTTATGAACAAACACTTGAGGACACCAGTGTAAAAGACTGATGGAATGAGATTCTCAAAACTGGGCATGGCAGCACATGCCTCTAAGAAAAAGAAATGGGATTCTAGTCTTCATTCCGGGTTCTGTTCCAAGAAGAGGCTCTTTTTCAATTTGCATTTTGCTACTGGATCTCACAGCCTAGGCTGGCCTCTGTCTTAGCTAGGGTCAGTATTGCTGTGATGAAACACTATGAACTATGGGGAGGAAACACTATGGGGAGGAAAGAGTTTATTTGGCTTATACTTTCACAGCACTGTTCATCCTCAAAGGAAGTCAGAACAGGAACTCAAACAGGAGCCTGGAGGCAGAGCTGATGCAGAGGCCATGGAGCAGTGCTGCTTACTGGCTTGCTCTCGTGGCTTCTCCCCCTGCTTTCTTAGCGAACCCAGGACCACCAGCCCAGAGATGGCCCCACCCACAATGGACTGGGCCCTCCCCAATCAGTCACTAATTAAGGGAATGCTCTCCAGGCTGTGCACAGCCCGAGCTTATGGAGGCATTTTCTCAATTGAAGCTCCCTCCTCTCTGATGACTCTAGCTTGTGTCAACTTGCATGCGCACCAGAGTGCACATTCCCATGTGGATATCGGAGGAGAGTTTGTGGGAACTGGTTCTCTCCTTCCACCACGGAGCCCTGGGAAATGAACTCAGGTCTTCAGGCTTGGCAGTCGCTGCAGGACCTCAGCCATCCCACCACTCTGCATCTTCCTCCTTTGCCATCGTCTGTCTTGTCTTCAATTCCCTTGAATCCATTGCTGTGTCCCCTTCTAGCTCTCTGCTGCTTCATGCCACCATCCATCCAGGCTAGAACTTCCCCTCTCGAGTCCAGTGGGTACAGGTAACTGTCGGTTCCCTAAGCCCTACGGGGACACTTAAAGAACTCAGGACCACCAAAAGAATTGCCTGTCCTGAGACGAAACAAAAGTTCTTTGGAAACGAATGGTTTTTAATTGAGGTGGGCTCTGGTGAAATGGAGACGGCCACAGAGGGTCCCTTCAAATTGATCACATTTCGTCTCGCTAAGGTCCCACGATGAAAGGAACTTGGAGGGGAAAGCATTGCTGGGCACATGTAAAGTGCCCTGGTTCAATCCCTAGCAGATATATACTATACAGGAAGGATGGCTACACTACTGTTATTTTACCAATCTCTGGCTAACATTTTTAGAACAAAAGCTGTGAGGTAATTGTGTCGTGTCTCCTGTATGTTTATGTTTGCTCCTGTGTTTGCATCGTCCGAGCACACATATATACACAAACTCAAAAAGAAATGAAAACACTAGTTTGCAAAGATAGAAGTAAAATGTTTTTACTTCAAAAGTGCATTTTACGGGGGTGGGGTAGGGTGTATACGTGTTTGTGTGGGTGTGAGTGAGTACATGCATGCCAGTGTGCGTGCGTGCGTGCGTGCGTGCGTGCGTGCGTGCGTGCGTGCGTGCGTGCGTGCGTGCGTGCGTGCGTGCGTGCGTGCGTGCGTGCGTGCGTGTGTGTGTAGGCCAGAGGTTGATACTGGTGGACATACCGATGAAGCCTAGAATGGATTCTAGGTAGGATAACAGAGGCCAGTATCTCTTTCTGTTTGTTTGTTTTGCAGTTGAGACAGGGTTTCTTTGTAGAGCCTTAGCTGTCCTGGAACTCTGTAGACCAGGCTGGCCTCGAACTCTGAGTGCTGGGATTAAAGGTGTGTGCCACCACTGCCTGACATGGTTTCAGTTTTGTAACATGACGACTCTGGAGCCCGACAATGGTGATGGTTGCAAAAAAAATATGAATATAGTTCTTAGCATTGAACTATATGCTTGAAATGCTAAAGATGGAAATTGCACTTTACTGCAATTCTAAAATAGATACCCCAAATATTCAAATCTGTCCAATACCTGAGATTCAGCACCTGGAGAATTTTTTCCCTTAAGATTTTATTTATTATGTATACAACATTCTGCTTCCATGTATATCTGCACACTAGAAGAGGGCACCAGATCTTATAACAGATGGCTGTGATCCTCCATGTGGTTGCTGGGAATTGAACTCAGGACCTCTGGAAGAGCAGCCAGTGCTCTTAATCTCTGAGCCATCTCTCCAGCCCCCACCGGGGGATTTTTTGTCCTGGCACTTGCTCTGTAGACCAGGCTGGCCTCAAACTCACAGAGATCCTCCTGCCTCTGCCTCCCGAGTGCTGGGATTAAAGGCATGCCACCAACGCCTGACAGACTTTTGCTTTCTTATGAAGCATTAGAAATCAAACCCAGGTCCTTGAGGCTGAGCTATGTCTTCATCCATCCCACAGAATTTTTATATCTACAACTTACCTAGATAGCTTTGACTTGGAAAAATTCTCTCTGTCCATAGTTCTTTTCCTTGTTCCAATTTGCGGATCATATCAGGTTTTGTTATGGGAAATCCTGATAATGAAGAAAAAGGAGAGAAGGGAGGGGGGGAAAGGAGGGAGGGAGGGAACATAGGAAGGGAAAAAGAAAAGTGAGACTTGATCTAAACTGCTGGGACTCAAAACTACTGAGAAAGACACAACTTCACAGTGCTACATGGGGTATAAATTAATGTCTTACCAAAGTTAATAATATGGTCAATGGCACTCATCTTTAATCCCAGCACTCGAGAGGCAGAAGCAGGCGGATCTCTGTAAGTTCGAGGCCAGCCTGGTCTACAGAGTGAGTTCCAGGACAGGCCCCAAAGCTACACAGAGAAACCCTGTCTCAAAAAAAAAAAAATCCACAAAAAAATCAAATATTCTGGGGCTGGAAAGACTGACCGAGCAGTTAGAAACATTGACTGCTCTTCCAGAGGATCCAGGTTCAATTCCCAGCACCCACACGGCTACTCACAACCATCCTTAACACAAAGTTCCAGGGGTCCCAACACCCTCTTCTGGCCTCAGCAGGCATCAAGCACACACCCGGCTCACATTTCTACAGGCAAGATACTCGTATATATCAAATAAAAACAATCTAAAAAATCGTTTATTGGGCCAGGCATGGTGGTACAGGCCTTTATTCCTAGCACTCAGGAGGCAGAGGCAGGAGGATCTGTGCGAGTTCAAGGCCAGCCTGGTCTATGTAGCAAGCCCAGGAACAGCCAGGATTACATAGAGAAAGAGCCTGTGTCAAAAACAAATAGTGACTTCACTAACATAAAGAGTCACACTGGGCGGAGGAGAAGTCTCTGCTGCTAGCGTGCTGGCTGCTCGAGCGTCAGGACCTGCTTCTGGAACTCTGGAAGGGATGTGAGTGAGACTTACCCACAGAGACGAAGTGGCAGTAGTTTTCTAGCATCACGTCCCTGTAGAGGGCCTTTTGGTCGGGATCTAGGTGCTGCCACTCCTCCTGGGTGAAGTCCACAGTCACATCCTTGAATGACACTGGTCCCTGTAAGGGCACACTGCAGCAGTTCATCCCAAAGTTACTGGAAATGGGTTACAGCTAAATGTTGGGGATCAGGCTGGGAGTGATCCGTGGGTGAACTAGTTTTTAAATATCTTTTAAAAAGGTTTCTTTATCCTGGCGGTTGTTTATGTTTATTTTACGGGTATAAGTGTTTGCCTGGATACAGTACGTTTACCACATGGCTACAGTGTCTCAGGAGGCTAGGAGCCGGTGTCAGGTTCCCTGGAACTGGAGTGACAGGCTCTTATGAACCCCTACGTGGGTGCTGGGAACTAAACAAAGTCCCTTAAACAAAGTCCCCTGCGGGAGCATGGAGTGGTCTTTTTTGAAGGAAGGGAGATTAAGGCTACCTCTGTCTATGTAGCTCTGGCTGTCTTGAAACTCACTACGTAGACCAGGCTGACCCTGCCTCTGCCTCTGAGTGCTGGGATTAAAGGTATGTGCCACCAACCTGATGTTTGCAACCAGTACTCTTAATCACTGGACTACCTATTCAGCTATTCAGCCCCTTACCTGTGCTGTTTGGGCTACACACACACACACACACACACACACACACACTCCTCTCTCTTTCAAAAATACATCCAGTAATATTGACCTTTTTTTTTTTTTTTTTGGTTTTTCGAGACAGGGTTTCTCTGTGGCTTTGGAGGCTGTCCTGGCACTCGCTCTTGTAGACCAGGCTGGTCTCCAACTCACAGAGATCCACCTGCCTGTGCCTCCGGAGTGCTGGGATTAAAGGCATGCGCCACCAGCCACCAACACCCGGCTAATGTTGACCTTTTATCTCAGGTTTAAAATATAAATAATCTTATACCACACAGTTTTGTCCTGAATGCAAACGGTTGACTGATGAACCAAAATGGTAAAACTTTGACTCTGCTATAAGGAGAGGCTTATGAGAAACGGTCACTCAATAGGTATCAAAACATATTGAAGGAAAGTGTACAAAGGAAACAATCACAAAGCAAAGAAAACTTTCATTCTGTAATCTGAAGCTTCATTAAGTATACAAAATTTTGTACTTAGAATAAATCTCTATTGTAGGAATAAATGGCACTAGTCTCTAAAAACTCACGGGACGCCCCTAATCTAAGCACTCGGGAGGCAGGAGCAGGTGGACGCCTGTTCAAAGCCAGCTTGGTCTACATATCGAGTTCCAGGATAGCCAAGGCTATGCAGAAAGTTCCTGTCTCAAAAACTAACCAAAAATTTTAATAATAAAAATGGACTTGATCACATTTCCAGCATATTGTTATTGATAAACTATCAATAAGCATTAGTGACAGTTTACACAGTTAGTTTACACTCCTACTCTTGAATGCACGCTTAGTAATTTTTTTCTTTGCAATATATGATCTTGTATGTTCTATTGCAATGCACACAGGCCTGACCACAAAGTGGGCTGGAGCGATGGCTCAGCAGCTAAGAGCACTTGCCTCTCTTCAAGAAGACTAGATAGAGTGTGGGTCCCATCACCCGCATCTGGAAGCTCACAACCACCTCTAACCCCAGCTCCAGGAGATTTACTTGCTGGCCTCTTCTGGCTTCCACAGGCTCTCTCCCCCACCCACACACACACACACACACACACACACACACACACACACACACCCCACAGAGGAATGCAAATTTTAACACGAAGAAACATAATACATGTTATATGGTAATATTCCTTAAAAACAAACAAACCAACCCCGAGTCTGACTCATGGTCTCCGCACCTCAGCTCCCCTGAAGCCAGACTGGAGGTGTGTGCCACCATCCCGGCTACTGGAGGTAGTATTCCTCAAGACTGGAGAAGGTAACCACTGATGGAGATTACGCTGCAGAGATTAGAGATTTGTGGGCTAATGAAAGACCACTGGTTCCCACACGGTAGGGTTTGAGAGAACTGGTTATAACCGCCTGTAGACTGAAGGGACCCGCACAGCTCTTGGGCTCTCTGCACAGGTAAGTGTGTGAGACCCCGGGGGTGGGAAGGCGGAGAAAGAGCCGACTGTAGTGGTGCACTCAGGAGGCAGATGCAGGAGGACTGCTGCAAGTTCAAGGCCAGCCTCGGCTACACAGTGAGCTCCAGATCACTAGGACCGGACAAGGAAGCCCTGTCTCGAGACAAATGACAAAAAAAGAAAGAGAAGAAAATTAAAACAGGAAACAGCAGGCTGGATCACGGGACGTCACAAGGAACTGACGAGAGCGTGGAATGGGTAGGTCGGCTTGTTTGTTTTTGAGACAGGGTCTCGAGTATTCCAGGTGGGTCTCAAACCTGTTATGGAGTTGAGGATGGCCCCTCTACCTTCAGAACGTTAAGAACATCGACCTGTGCCACCATGCCCAGTTAATATGGGTTTGTGGATTGAGCCACGAGCTCCAAGCATGCTAAGCAACACTGCTGATGGAGCTACATGCCCAGCCCCTGCATGCTGAATATAAGGCTCCGATGCTCTGTCTAGACAGATGTCTAGCATGGACAGAGGTATCCTGTAGTCACTAAATCAAATTACGTGTATTCTTCCAAAGCAATCTAACTTTGTATACAGAAATCAAGAATGTAAAAAAGTGAGCCATTTAAAACTTGGGGAAAATCAATACTTGAAAGGTTGGGAGATGGGGAAGTTTTTAGATTTTTTTAAAAATTTATTATGTATACAATGTTCAGCCTGCAGGCCGGAAGAGGGCACCAGATCTCATTATAGATAGTTGCGAGCCACCATGTGGTTGCTGGGGATTGAACTCAGGACTTCTGGAAGAGCAGCCAGTGCTTTCTTAACCTCTGAGCCATCTCTCCAGCCCCGGGAGATTGGGAATTTTATGAAAGAAAAACAAATGGAAACAGGATAAGGTACTGCGGTTGATTCAAGGACAGACTACTTCAAGAGTGGACTAGCAAGTGGGGCAGTGGTGGCGCACGCCTTTATTCCCAGTACTGGGGAGGCAGAGGCAGGTGGATCTCTGTGAGTTCGAGACCAGCCTGGTCTACAGAGTGAGTTCCAGGATGGCCTCCAAAGCCACACAAAGAAACCCTGTCTCGAAAAACAAAAACAAAAACAAACAAACAAACAAACAAAGAGTGGACTAGTATATGTAATTTCTTCTGCTGCAAGTGAGTGTAAAATTTTAGAAGACAGAAAAGAAAAGAAAAGAAAACGCTAACCCTATGGTAGTATTGAATACTGAGCAGGTTTTCCCTGGCAGGTCACAGTTGGTAGGAATTTCTGGAAGAGAAGAATCAATAGAAAATTAGAGAAGGGGCTACAGAGATGGCTCAGTTGTTAAGAGCACTTATTGCTCTTACAGAGGACCTGGGTTCAGTTCCCAGCACCCACATGGTAGCTAATACCTGTTTATAATTCCAGTTCCAAAGGATGGACACCTTCTTCTGATCTCCATGGGCACCACGTACACACATGATACACATACATACACGCAGGCAAAACACTCATATACAGAAAGAAATCTAGCTGGGTAGTGTCTTTGATCCCAGCACTTGGGAGGCAGAGGCAGGTGGGTCTTTGTGAGTTCTAGGCCAGCCTTCTCCTACAGACTGAGTTCCAGGACAGCCAAGGCTACACAGAAAAACCCTGTATGTTGTCCCCTTTTTAAATTGTTGCTGCCTTTTAAGCCATGGGCCGTAGGAATCAGCAACTTTAACTCTCCTGTTATCAGCAGCAGTTAGGCTGCAAGAGTGTGGCGATATTTTGCTTATGATCTAACAAATAAAGCTTGACTGAAGATCAGAATGCACAGCTAAGCCACTAGTTAGCCACACACCTAGTTAAGAGCTAAGTTACTAGTTAGACACACACACACACACACACACACACACACACACACAATTAAGTCACTAGTTAGCCAAAGAGGACAGACAGTGGTGGCACACACCTTTAATCCCAGCACTCAGAAGACAGAGGCAGATGGATCTCTGTGAGTTCAAGGCCACCCCAGACTACATGAGAGTGTATCAGTCTAAAAGAGAAACAGAGCTCATGCCTTTGATCCAAGCACTTGGGATGGCATGCCTTTAACCCCAGCACTAGAGAGGAATATAAGGCAGGAGCTCAGTGCAGTCTCAGGCAGTCTGAGGTTTGCTGGAGAGCACTGCAGGCTGCCGTCACTCTGGGGACAGGATCGCCCCTCTTTGGTATGAGCGTTGGTAAAGGTAAGAACTCTCTAGGGGCTTGGCTGCTTTGCTTTTCTGATCTTCAGCTTGAACCCTAATACCTGTCTCTGGGTTTTTCCTTATTTGTGCCACACAAGAGCCAAAGCCTGAGGGAATTCTGTTTCCCCAGGCACCTACTCTTTCAAAGCTATGAAGGGAACTTATCTAAATCTCAGCCCTCTAAAGAACTCAAGATTCAAAGGCTGAGGTGGAATTCTGCTCCTCAGAGAGGCAGCTCACCTCCTCTCCTGAAGTCTCTCCAGAAGTCCTCGTGCTACTCCTCACCCCCTCCTTAAAAACCCTTCTCCAGCTGGCTCTTCCCTACCATTTCTCGTCAGCTAGTCGCTGACTCAACGTCCTCACCACAGGTGAATTTTATTTAATCCAACACATCTTTGCATCACTAAACAGATGTTGCATGAACAGAAGTAACACACCTTAAAATAATATTCTACAACACCCTGTCTTAAAAAAAAGAAAACAAACAAACCGAATTCTAAAAACCTTTGTGTTTGACAAGGTCTCACTTTGGAAGCCCAGCGTGGAATCAGGATCCTCTTAACCGAGTCCCATGTGCTGGAACTGCATGTGCGTCACCATGGCAACAAGTGTAGCCTTAGTTTTCTGGACCAGTTCATTCTCAGATGTCCACCCTGAAACCCTCACATACGGGACACCTTCCCACAACTTAGATTACAAGTCAGTGCCAAGATAAAACGGATTCATTTAAGTACAATAATTTATGTCTCTCTAAATCAAGACAATACATTTTTTTTTTATTACAGCAGTACTTCTGTAAAGAGACGGACAGAGGAGACAATGAGAAATATAATGAGCCAGTCTGGACAGCGGCCATAACTGGGGGCAGGCTTAAGTTCGTCTGGTTGGAATACTACCGTTGGAATCGGTGAGCCATCTACAGGAGAAAGTTTGGGAAGGCACCACCTTCAATATTATAGCCCAGTGTCACTTGTGTCTCCAATCAGGACCTTACCTGGAGACCCTGGCCCTAACTAACCGGAAAAATGTTTCACGGCAGCAAATTCTAATATCCAGGCAGCTGAAGCAACATTGCTCAGCAAATGTCCCTATTTCCCGAAAGAAAAGAAAGGAAATATCTCACCTTAGACATGCCTTTGAGATTTGTGAGAGACGAATCCCGTTGTCTTGGCTCGTCTTTCGGGAAAGGAAAGAGCCCTGTGAAGGCAAAGGTGGAGGTCCGTTAGGAGCCAGGAAGAAAACAGGCTCAGATTAGATCTCTCGGAATAACTCAGATCTGCAGACATTCCCACTGTTTCCACACACGCCTTCTCTGAGTGCACGTCCGAAACATAGGACAAAGGGCTGTGGAGAAGCAAACCAGTCCCACTTTCCTCCCAAATCAGAAGCCCCATCTCTTGCTGAGCTAGCATGGATTCCGTGGGACCTGCGATAGCTTGCAAATGCAACATTTTGTTTAACTCTCTCCAGTTCCCCATGGCACACAGGTTTATTGGGGATGTGACTCGGTGATACAGCATTTGCCAGCATAAGCAAGATTCCAGGTACTTCACTCAGCATCGCCCAAACCACAACTTCATGTTCTTTTCACTGACGGGTACCATTACCAGCAGTACCTGACGTTACCTCCCCAAGCCCCCATGCAAACAGGTGGGAAGCCTTTATCTCCATCAGTTCTGTACTATAGTCTAAAGGGATACATTTCTTTTTTTTTTTCTTCTTCTTTTGTTTTTTTGAGACAGAGTTTCTCTGTGTAGTTTTGGAGCCTGTCCTGGACCCTCGCTCTGTAGGCCAGACTGGTCTTGAACTCTCAGAGATCTGCCTGCCTCTGCCCTTCCGGTGCTGGGATCAAGGGCGTGTGCCACCACCCGGTTTGGTATATATTTCTTATTGTGGTAAGTTTCCTTTGATATGTTTAACATTTCCCCTTTCTTGTAGTTACGTTTGGTTTGTTATACCTTCGCCATGGTATTTTCTAATTGACTGACTCCATCCTCTGATTTTTTCCCCCTAGCGTTCTATCACTGAATTATAATCTCAGATCCTCGTCTCTGCTCAAGATGCAAAAATTTCTCTTATCTGGCTTCCAGTCATGAAAATCTCCTCCTGTAAACTGTGTTTTTTTATGTCTCACATTGCATAATCAATGTTTCCTTGACTAATAGTAAAGACAATCTTTTTTAAAAAAATTCTTTTCAAGACAGAGTTTCTCGTGGTACCCTTAGCTGATCAGGAACTCACTCTGTGGACCA